CTTGCGATGGCCTCCAACCTACTTGCGATGGCCTCCAACCTACTTGCGATGGCCTCCAACCCACTAGCAATGGCCTCCAACCTACTAGCGATGGCCTCCAACCTACTATAGCGATGGCGTCCAACCTGCTAGAGCGATGGCCTCCAACCCAATAGCAATGGCCTCCAACCCAATAGCAATGGCCGCCAACCTACTAGCAATGGCCTCCAACCTTATAGCAATGGCCTCCAACCTTATAGCAATGGCCTCCAACCTAATGGCGATGGCCTCCAACCCACTAGCAATGGCCTCCAACCCAAGAGCAATTGCCTCCAACCCAACAGCGATGGCCTCAACCTACTAGCAATGGCCTCCAACCTAATAGCGATGGCCTCCAACCTTACTAATAGCGATGGCCTCAAACCTACTAGCGATGGCCTCCAACCTAATAGCAATGGCCTCCAACCAAATAGCGATGGCCTCAAACCTACTAGCGATGGCCTCCAACCTAATAGCAATGGCCTCCAACCAAATAGCGATGGCCTCAAACCTACTAGCGATTGCCTCCAACCTAATAGCAATGGCCTCCAACCTAATAGCAGTGGCCGCCAGCTTAAGAGCGATGTCCTGAAACCTAAGAGCGATGGCCTCCAACCGTGTGTGGATGTGTGCGGTGTATGGATGTGTATGGAGTATGTGTGGAGTGTATGGTGTATGGATGTGTATGGTGTGCGGTGTGGTTCGTTGCATCAACTATGATCAGCTGTCTTAAAGCCTTCATGACTCCATCATCAGCTGCTAATCGCTATGTCTCCCTTCGCACTGCCTCAGCCCCGAAAGTCGCCTCAAATGCCCGGAACCCGCCCGATGATCACTCCACCCGTCCTGGTTTGTCACGGGGCGAACAGAGCAGATCGACCGAGTGGACGTTCTTTGGGGTGTTCTGACTGCGAGGAAAGGAAGGAAGGAAGGAAGGAACAAGGAAGGAAGGAAGGAACAAGGAAGGAAGGAAGGAAGGAACAAGGAAGGAAGGAAGGAAGGAAGGAAGGACTAGGAAGGACTAGGAAGGACTAGGAAGGACTAGGAAGGATGGAATACGGAATATGATGGAATGATGGAAGTCCCCTCACTTTGGGGCTACAACAGTGGGGGCAGAGGGAATGGATTTCAGATCTCCTCCAGAACTGTGAGGCTCCTGACTTTCTCATCCCCCACGACCAATCGGACGAAACCAGTCGCCCAGCGCGTGCCGCCAGGCGGCGAGGCCGGACGGTGGGAAGATGCAGGGGGCCCACCGGGCTGGGGGTGTGGAGTTCAATGCCCACCATTGATGGACCAGCCGGGCTGAATCCCGAAAAAGCATCGCCCCTTGTTTTACGATGTTAGACTACGAAATCAGGTCCTTCCCATTCTTTGAAAGGGTCTTGGAAGTTCTTGGAAGACTCGAATGATTTCATAGGGAGACTCCTTTTCTCGGGCGGGTCGACGGGTCTTGTTTCCGAACCTTCCAGAGAACACAGAAGGAGGTCTCCCATGTCTTGAGCTGCCTTGACCCTTCACCTTAGAACATGAGGCATGACGGCATGACCCTATAAAACAGGGACTTGTACACATGTTTTGAGGTACTTTGAGATTCCAGGTGCACATAGTCGGAGGGATTGAACATGTCGAAGGGCAGGATAGGATGGAGGCACCCGCTCGCTTGAAAGCGGCCTGTAACGAGGGTCGAGCTCCTTTACTGCACAAAGGAGGCCTTTCGGATGCCTTGATGGAGTCTCCGATGGAGTCATACATAACATAATTTTTGCAACTAGCTTCAGAGCTGTTGCCAACAACTGTAGACCATGGGAGAACAAGCATGTCCTTTTTGAAGAAAATTGCATGAGGGAACCTGTTGGGTTTCAAACAGGTGGCGTGCCGAGGCACCATGATACATATTGTACATCATTATTTGACAGACTATGCGATTATCTAATTATGATTACAATATATACCATAGGACCATATACATATAACGAAAGCCAGCCTTCCTGGAAGGCGCCAGCTGAGTGGTGTTTGGCGAACGAAGTGAGTGGGGGTTTGGGCGGGGGGTGGCCCGAGAAAGCACTACGTATGGGGAAACATCCAGAACTCTTTCTGGTTGAGACTGGGCTTGCAGGTTTATCTCTTTTTGCTGCGCAATTCGCAGCGTGCCCAAGCGCCAGCTTTCGGCAGGTCTTCACGCAACTCTCCAACGCTTGGGAGGCCTTTGATATCGACTTTGCCCATTTGTCGAGGCCCTAGTGTCACCTTGCTAACGTTTGACAGAGAAAGACGGGTGGAACTGGTTTTTGTACCTTACCCAGACGCGACCCTGGGCCCTCATATGGAGGGGTCGGACCCTCATATGGAGGAGTCTGGGGTCTGTATTTTTCTCTAGGTTTTGAGGGACCAAGGGCTGTGAACGGAGCGTCTGGGTCAGAATCCGTACTTACGCTTGACCTCTTGGCATGAGGCCGCGACCGTGCCAACCCAAACGGGGTCCGACCTGAACCAAACCCTTCTTGTTTGAAGGCCCGGATGCTTAGGGTAGTGTCAACAAAAAAGGCTTCAGGGAACGACGGCAGCATCTCACAGTGCGGAATGCACGCAACTCGAGTCAGCTGCGACTCAGCTGCGACTCACGCGACGTGAGGCCATCGACACCTCAAGCAAGAGCGACACAGGTAAAGGTCCACAGTGGTGGAGCAGGATCCTCAGACTCGGCGACTGCTCCGCGACTTCCAACGGTGTGGGATTGCTGGTCCGAAACCCGTTGGACCCCTCCAGATTTGAGTGGACCGAGCGCTCCATACCTTCTTCCAACTGTGCAACAGTTCTGCCTTTTTTTCATTTTTCATTTATTCATGCGTAAGGGTCTAGGGCTAGGGTGGTGGTCTGGGTGGAGCAGCTCGTGTCTTCTGGCTCCTCCGGGGGCGATCTCCTTGTTTCACATGAGAGAACGGACTCCAGTATGTGACGCCACAACTCCCGCATTTTTCGGAGTGATCGATGTTTGTCAAGATGAGCCGTCCAAGAAATCCAAGGGAAATGGCACATACCTGGACCCTCCAAGGGGTGTCCAATGGGCTACCCCACACTATACCTATAGGCTTCCATTGGACACCCCTTGGAGGGTCCAGGTAGTTATATATGCGAAAGTAAGGGAATGTCCTTGACAAAAGCCAACCTATCGTTGCACTGGACGACTTCTATCCCTAGGTATCCAGTCATACCTTCTCAGGTAAGTACGGTGAAGGTGGGGGCGACACTGGTTATGCAAATGTTGAAGGCTCCACTCGCAGCGTATGAGGTTCGGTACGACTGGATCCCTGCCGAAAAAGGGTCAGTGTGCTGGTCCGAAGTTGAAGTCTTCGCTCGCTCTAGGACTTAGCGGCTAAGCGCGTCGATGCTCGTCCCGTTCTGCCCATGCCATTGGCTCCTTCGGCGTCGGCGTCTCGCGCCGACCGCCACAGGAAGCACACGCCGTGGCATGGTGGTGGGAGTTGGACCTAGGTCTGGGGCCTCAGAACGAAGATCTGCACGGACGTTTTGGTCCGTGCAGTCCAAACAGGATGCCCCAGGACCTCGGCAGAGGGAAAGGGTGTGACCCTGGGTGGAGTGTTTCTTTGTTCTCGGAACATGCAGTTCAAGTCTCGTTGGTTTTGAGACTGGCCATCTTTGGGCATTTCTGTGTCTTGCCCTCGTACTTGCCATTGGCTCTCGGGCGGCGGAAACACACCGGTTAAGCCGAGCCTGGGGATCGATCGGAGAGTCGAATCATGATGGCCCCCAAACCATGATGACTCATCATGATGAAATGGAATGGTTGCCAACACCATGACTATAAGACCAAGGCGAATGTCCCAAATGTTTGTCGCCTTTGGACTACCTTCGGGCCTCTGCTAAAGGGGGATTTTCTTTGATCTGCACGTGGCCGTGCTGGTGATCCAGGTGGTGCGTCGCACAGCAGCTGGACGGAGGCTCCGTGGGGGGTCGCGGTGGACCGTGGTGTGGTTCAGAGTAGAGAGCGTGGGGAAGTCTTTTCGGCATCGGTTGGAGATCCCCTTGTTGGGGGTCGCTGTTGACCTTGCTTTGTAAAACGCAGGGGGGTTCGCAGAAGATAGTACAAAGGAGACACAGATGTCCACACTGACATAAACATCGTTTCATTCTCGATTTGCCCACTTTTGTTCCCACTTTGAGTTGTCCAGTTCATGGTTTCGGAAAGGACGGTGAAGGTGAAGCCAGCAAGTCGTGTCTTGACTGATCAATCAGATCAGTCCTACCGTTTCACAGTCGATGTTTGTTGGTTCAATGTCCTTTTCTTCTGATCTACCCATTTACCCTAATCCATACTCTTTTTTTCCAACCTACACCATGATGCAAAGCGCCATTGATCGAGTTCACTTCTCCGCTGCTGTGGAACCAGCCTGACCGCCAGAGCGGCACAGCGCGGCGCGCCATGCTGCGGGTGTGCTCGGCCGCCTCGGGCGGCGAAGTCGTCACCCTGGACGCCGAGGAGAGCGGCCGAGCGGAGCGCCGAGCGCTGGAACGGCGATTGGGGAAGCGGTTCGGGGGATAGATGGCGAGGTCTTATGTACATGGAATTGGTGAGTTCGGGTGTGTTCTTTTGTGGGGAGGGGTGCAGTCTTCGTGGTTCGTGGCTCTTCTATCAATGGAGGAAGTGTACAACATAATGCTTCACAACACATCATGTGGTTGCATGTACTTTACCAGTCTAGAAAAGGTCAACCTAATTGTAGATCTTCAACCTGTGCAGATCATTCTGCCTTTTTGACTGCATGTTTTTTTCTATAAGATGAAAAGGCAGACATGTTGCATAGTTGGAAGATCTAGGTATACAAACATCACGATAGCACGACATGTCATCTCTTTACCTCTGATGTTGGGAGAACTTCCAGAAGCTCGGATTTTTTGAGGGGAGACCCGAACCTGGGAGCCGCCCCTTCAGGAACTCTATTCAGAGAGAAACCTTGAAGCCTGAAACAGGATCCTGAAACGAGACCTTGAAGCCTGAGAGATACCTGGGAAAGTTTGCGAAGGAATCGGGACGCAATCGCTCCCCGATTGGGGGTCTCACATTCGGTCCCACCGGGCGTGGAAGAACAGCGCGTGGGGCATGGAAGAGGTTGACCGGATGACCGGTCGAGCCGGATGACCGGTCGAGGTCTTTGTTTCAAGTGGAAATCAATGGATTGGTCCCTCCAATGAGCCTGCGCCTTTGCCCCAAAAGGTCCATCTCCAAAATTCAAAATGAATCCCTAGGCTTCCAAGACCATTTAAAAAATGGTTGACCTGGTTTTTGTAATGTAAAATCCTTCCTATACTAAATTAATGGTTGTTGGAAGCCTAGGGAATACTCCTATAAGTGTCCCATTCTCATCCATCCTTCTCCTTGCCTTCTCCAAGTCCCATCACAGCCTCTGCGGGCTCTCCGCTCCCAAGCTCTCCCGCGGTCGACCGCACACCGCCGAGGAGCTCCATGGTTTGGTGGAGCAGAGCGGCGACTGCGTCAGGGCCTTGAAGGAGCGGAGCGGATGAGTCCGGCTCCGTCAGCGTTCCCTTCGCCCCAACCCACGCGCGAGTGAGGGAGTGAACGGGAGCGGGTGGAGGAAGGCGAGTTTGGAACGGGAGCAGGTGGGAGAGTGGAGGGATTGGAGGGTCCTTCTTCCTTTTTGGGGGGTTTTGAGGGTTGGAGGCTGAAGGTTTTTTGTCCAAGCCCAGAATGGAGCAGGTCAACAGGTCGCCAGGTCACCAAGTCGTCAGATCACCGCATTCTGCGAGATCACCGGGTTTTTCCACCGACTTGAACCAAGAAGAGACGACGTGCCCGGATCGCGCTCGATCACCGGTGCGGACCCGGGGGCGTTCAGGACTTCCTCTCGACGCGGCCGCCCAACTTCTCCCGGTTCCGGCAACGGATCCTGAGCGGGTCCGGGGAGCTTCAGGACTGTCAGATGGCCTCCATATGAACAAAAAGGAGCCCCTAGTAAAGGCCAGGAGCCCCTAGCAGCGATGCCCTTTGCTCCTAGTAGCCAAAGGAACCTAATAGGGATGGCGCCTCCAACCTGCTAGCCATGGCCTCCAACTCGGCCGATGGGGAGTCCGAGGCCGGATGGAATACGATGGAACACGAGATCTCAAGTCTTTTCTGCAGCTGTTCTTCAAAGCCAATGTTAGCGGTTTGGGGGAAGGCGTTCATCCCAGATCGCTTTGTTTTGAGAGCCTGACCAGATCTCACCCCAAAAGCCACCCTCAGCCACCGAGATTTTGGGGTCCGATCCCATGGTCGAACGCGGTCATGTCCGGACGTTTCCCACTTCCAACGGCTGTTCGGTGCCCGACCTGGATCGAACGGCCTGAGCCTTCGGGGCGGCGGAACATGTTAACGGCCGAACCGGCGAGCTCCACGGACGGCGGGCGAGACGCGTGCGAAACGCGGACAGGATGAGGTGCCGTTGACGTCGTTCTTTCCCGGAGATCTGCAACTGCTGATCCTCGAGTTGGCCGATGAGATGGGAATCTTTGAGGTCTGTGGCCAGGCGGACCTGCGTAAGGGGAGACGAAGCAACAAAGGACCTGCGTAAGACATGTGTGTGGGGTGGTCACAATCATGGAGCAACCGATCATTTTCGTTGGACATCATTGCCTCACACTTCAGGTATACTGCTTACACTGCTACTTATACTTCTTTTGAACCAGATACAAGCAGCTGAGGCTTCAGTTTTCTTGGTGCTTTTCCTCCCTGAACAGCGGAGCCTCGGAGGCGTCGCCGCCCCGTACCCGTCGGCGTCCGGTGCTGCCGTCGCTGCCGTGGATTCGACACGCGACGGGTCGGTCCAGGCAGAGCGCCTGGAAGCCGTGCTTCAACAACCGGCGAATCCGCGGCTGTAGCTCGGTCGTCCGCGCGGGGTCCGCTCGGCTCGGGCGCAGGGACCAGGTTTGACCGGTATGGTAGAGCAGCTTCATGTCGGCTGGAAGCCCCAGCCCACTGAGTGATGTTTGAGACAGACCCCCGGACGGGAAGGTCCTGGTAGAGAGAGAGAGAGAGAGAGCCATAGGCATCAGCCAGGCCATAGGCATCGCAGCAGAGAGTCAGAGCTGAATGGAAAACTTGGGGTTGACTCGGAGTGATCGACTCACTGTCTTACGTCATTTTTGTCTGGCGACGGTAGCCTCACGTACCGCGGAGTAACAGTTACTTCTGGACTTGCAACGGGGGAGCAGAGACCCCACGGAATAGATTCCCTTTGAGATGGAATGGTGAGTTGCGATGTGTGCATCCGGCAGATCCCTATTGAGTTCAAACGGAGCATGCGGTTTAGGGGAAAACCCTCAATGATTTTGGTAAGGCAAAGATTGATGAGCAGCGCCCAGTTTTTCTCACTCAGCCTTCTTCAACTTTCCCTTCATCTCCAAAAACCTGGACATGTTGAGCAGTTCCACCCCCAGTGGACAAGACACCTTATTATCACCGAAGTCCCTAGGTCGAAGTACCTCCCGTGCCGTCCATCGGGGTCAGCCGACACACCGAGGGTGGACCCGTACGGACGATGTCCACTGCACCTGGCGGCGGGCGACGGCGAGGTGCGCTGCTTGCGCTTGTTGTTGGAGGCGAGTCACGCGCTCGAGCCCCGCTCCCCACGCTTCGCGCGCGCGCGCGAATAGAGCGAGGAAAGACGGTGCAGAGCCTGGTGGGTGGTCCAGTTGCAAAGAGAATGATGGGTACCAGGCAGATCAAAGAACTCCCCCTGAAAACTGTCGTAGTCTGTGTAAGGCCAAAACGGTTTGACGAAAAGAACCACGAATCATCCGATAGTCAAAGGCTGTGTAAAAACAAACAGATCATACTACGTAGGAGCAAGGAGGCTACTAGCTCCTGGCCTTTCTACTATAGTAACAAGAAGCTACGAACGGGGCTCCCAGATGGAAGGAGACTTCCACTTCACTTCCACCGGTGCCACGACTCGAACTCCGCCACGCACCGCGCTACCGTGCCGCTGGTTCGCGCACTCTCTCGTCCAGGCGCAGGCGTCCGTCCACCAGAAGACCTCCACCGGCGCCACGGTGCTGCACTTCGGAGCTCAGAACGGCTGCATCGAGGCACCTGGACCGACCGGTCACCGCGTGGGTTCGCGGTGACGTGAACGAAGAGTGGGAAGCGGGAAGCACAGACGGCCATACGCTGGACACGTTGGGTATGAACGGGGCTTCTATTGATAGCCCCCGAAAAGAGGTGATGAAACGGGTGTTCATGTCTACCACCCCGACAGTGGATTCTGGTACACTGGATCTTCCAAATCACAAATACCAAGACCATGTTCTGCCAACTTGGCGGTTTTTGGATGGATGAAAAGGCATGACTTTGTCACAGCTACAGATTCTAATAGATGGCTTGTTATAGTACGTGGTAGAATATATCGCGTTTTTGGTATGTTCGGGAGAGCAGAGCATCGTACAGGACCACCGGAAGAGATCCCGCGAATCAACCAGTGTGACCGATGCTCAGTGCACCCGGTCAGGCCTTGCAGCTCTTGTTGGAGCTGGGTGGTGAGGTGGAGAAGGGCAGCAACACTGGACTCATGCCCTTGCACCTGGGAGCTCTTCATGGACATGTGGAAGTGCTCCGGTTGTTGTTGGATCACAAGGCTCGGCAGTGCTTGGTCGGGATGAAGATCTGAAGCAGTGTAGATGTGAAGGGATTTGTCCGACTTGCCTGCTGAGATGCGGAGGAGAACCACCCCTCTGCGTCTCACGTGTGACTGTGGCGGTTTTGGTTTCAGGTCCTCTTCTTCCATCACCCAGACACGACCTGTAGACATCTGTAGACACTCCGGACTGCCATAGGACTGCCATAGAAACGGCCAGGGGTGGTTGACTGGGAGTCAATGTAGTGATCGGCCAGGCATCGCAGCTGCCAGACAGGTGGTCCTGTTTGGGTGACTGGAAGGAGCACTCGTTGGGAACCTCCAAACCACGTCCGAGCTCCGGGAGTCCGCTGGCGGAGGGCGGCAGAGGTGGAAGGAGCCTATATATCGACTATCGACTCGACTATCCCATAGGTCCTAATAGGTGCCCCAGGTGATGAATCCTTGGTCAGGTGACCCTCTCTGGGCTCTTGCACCGTCTGAACAAACGCTCGCATACGCTCGCATACGCTCGCCAGGCCTCTCAAGAGCGCAGCACCAGCGACACGGGAGAGCGAGCTCTGCACCTGGCAGCGCGGCAGGGTCATACTGAGGCCACGGGAGCTCCCCATCGCTCTTGCGGTGCGACGGGGGTGGTGGGATGGGTGGGATGATGGATGGAATGTTTACCAGGACCATCCAAGGGGTGTCCTGGCTGGGCTACCCCACACTACCCATAGGCTTCCATTGGGCACCCCTTGGATGGTCCAGGTAGAGATGCTTGGCGTGTTGAATCAAAACCGAAGGGTTTAGACTTTGGCATTGGAGGGACGACTGAATGAAAGCACATGTTCACTGACAAACTTCAAGATCAATCAAGTTCGGGGCTACTGACTCGATTCCTCTTCGAAGCTCGCTACTCTTTCCAAAGCCAAAACACCCGTGACGACCGGTGCCAACCGACCAGTGCTCTCCACTGGTGCCGTCCAGGTGGTGCAACTCTTGCTGGAGCAAAGCGCGCGGACGTCCGACGCCGCGCAGAGACATGACGCCGCGAATGCCACGACGTTGCGGGGAGAGACGCCCTTGCACCTCGCGGCGCGGTTTGGACACCTGGAGATCGTCCGAGTGCTGCTCCACTACGGGGCGGTGGCTCGGACGGAGGTCAGGACGAGAGGCGTTTCGACCAGAAGACGAAGCGGTTTGAAAGAGATTTCCGGGATCATCCTGTTTTGATGTCCATAATGGAGATCCACTAGTGGGCTGGGCAATTAGCCCAGCCACACCCAGACAGGATGATTTTGGCGTCTTTTGTTGACCAAACCGGAACAAAGAAAAGACCACGAAACCGAGCGCTGCGCGCCGCGAACGGCCAACGGTGACGTCGACGTTGTGAAATGTCGCCTGAACTAACTCGCCTGAACTAACTGCCCATCTCATCGTCTAAGGCGAAGATGCCCATGTGTGAACATGGCACTCCACTGCACTTGGCCGTGCAGGGCAACCACCTGGAGCTGGTCAGTCACTGCGACGGAGAACGGAGAACACGGAGAACACGACCGGGGGACCCATCGACCGATGTTCTCGGTGCCGGAGTGGAAAATACAAAGGGTCCAACCAACTTGAACTGCTCCTTTTCCCCAAAAAAACACCTAGACTTCCGTTCGACCATTTAAAGAATGGTTGACCTGGTTTTTGTAGTGTAAAATCCTTAGTTGATTCGGGATTCGGCCTATTAAATTCATGGTTGTTGGAAGCCTTAGGGACATTCGTTTTTCAAGTGTTTGATCCGATTCCGCCCTCCCGGCGTGAAACGACCTGGTGAAACAAGCTGTACTACGGCCAAAAGGGATGGCTCATGATGGCTGGGTCAAACACAGACGCGACTCGAACATGGCCCCCGAATCCTTGTTTTCGGATGTTTTCGGAGGGGTCGAACATGGTCGAACCTCTCACCCGTTCGACTGACCTGTCGGGCAGTGAACTGAGCGTTTGGGAAGAAAGGACACCGATGTATATACCTCATGCCGCACTCATCCCGCCTTTTGCATCACAACATGCACGGTTCAATCTTCTGCCCGTTCAACTTGTGACATTAAAAGAGAGAGAGAGAGAGACGTCGACCGAAAGCCCGGACCGCTTGAAAGACGGACCGTGCGTGCGGAACGAACCGATCGATGTTTGGCCGTTTTTGGTCGAGGTTTCCTGCTGGATGCGGACGTCGACCTGGAGTTGAGCACGGCCCATCCGGCCTCCACGCCGCTGCACATCGCCTGCTGCGCGGGGTACGTGGACCTGGTGGAGCTACTGCTGGCGCGTCAAGCACAAGCAGATCGAGGAGGCGGAGCTGAAGGCGGAGCGGTTGAGCTGCCAACTGATGCACAACAAAGCACACAGAAGTGGTGCAATGGGCGCCCTTTTTCTTGGGTCCGCTTTGGGCCAGAAGCTGTTTGACGGGCGCCCAGGGGGGAGCGGCGAATCCTCAAGCGGTTTTGGAACGGGATTTCTGCCGCCGAGGTTGATAGAAGCGGTTTTGAGGTGCAGACTTTCTTGCCAAGAAACAGTAGCACCGTCACCTTGGTTTGTCTTCAACGTACTGCATCCAGACTGTGTCGCTGCTCTCAGGCAGAGGAGCAACGCCCCTGCAGATGGCAACTCACAATGGACATGCAGCGGTGATGATGTTTTTGCTCGAGGAACCTCGTGCGGATTGGGATGGTTTGGCCGTCGGCAGATGTCACCCTGTCACCCAGCGGAAAGCGAGATTCATGGTGGAAGGCATGTCACTTCGTATACCAGGTCCTCCAAACAACTGGTAAGAAGTGTCCGTTCCTGCATGGTGAAGTCTTATGGTCTCCTTGCATGGTGATCACCAAAGACTTCACCAGGTCACCCGGTTCGTTCCTTTCGTTCCCCTCCGAACGGTTCCGAACGGTTCCGACGTTGCTCCGGGTGTGCCACGGTGGAGACTGGAGACCGCTCCGTGGGGATCCGTCGTTTTGGCCGCGAGAGGGGTTACAGGGTGTGAGTCGGTCGGGTCTTCTGACCTGGTGTGGTGTTCTAGAAACCCCATGGGGTTCTTTGTTCCGCATGTTTGGAGGTTTGGCGTGTTTGGAGCTGTTTCCTACATCCAAGCAGAGCCGACCGCCCCAGAAATGATCTAAAAGCATCCCCAAACCCTGTAGGCTCGAGGCCTCTTCTCCACCATGGAGTCCTCTCAAAATCGAGGTCGCGGGGTGGTCTGGTGCCCGGTCGACCGGGTTTGTGGTCGGTGCAGGTTCACGTCGGATTCGATGGTCGTGACAACGAAGAAAGAACGCTAAACGAGGCATCTCAGAAGAGGCTTCTTTTTCAGTGTGTCATTTGTTGTTGTTTTGATACCCAGACGCTCATGAACCCTCCTAAGTAGGGCTGTTTGGAGCGTCTGGGCATCTGGGTAGGTTCATGATTGGTCCTAACAGTGTCTTGGTCACGGCGCGGCCCTTGCACTCCCGGCGCGAAGCGCCAGGCGGGCGCTTCTGCGACGAAGACCACGTTGGACAGCCCCGATCCGCCGATGCATCTGGCAGCTCGAGTCGGACACTTGGAGCCGGTGCGCCTCTTGCTTCACGCGCGCGCCGACCTGGAGGCGGGCCATGGCCAACCGCGGTGAGCGGCGGGGTGGACGACGTCTTAAAGCGCTGGGAAAAGCACAGAAGCCCCATGAAGCGAATCAGAGCACGCCCAGTTACTCTCAGACCTGGAGCATGTGTCCTGCAGCATCTGGAGGAAACTTACACGCCCAGACATGGATAGTACCGCTGAAGAGGCTGGGCGGGTTGAAATATCATGGAAAATCCATGATATATCAGATATATCAGTCTAAAAGGTCTGACAATGATTCCCAAACGCTCCATGTAAGTCTACATGCTTTGGGGGGGGTCAATTGATCGGCATATGTGGCAGTCCCAGACAGGTCGTGCATGGGATCATTCTCGATGCGATTTGTTGGCCCAAGCGAAAGCAGCTAACGTCGGATCGAGTGATGGGTCTATAGACCTGGAACCCGGACGTTTGACCCCTGTGTTAATCATAGAATCATAGGCCATATTTTGGGTGGTTGGTGGTCCAAAATAGAGGTCATTCAGGTTCTAGGGAGTTGCTTAAGGTGGCCAATTGGGTCCGCTTCCCCTTTCTCAGTCCTTGGATCCTCCCAGACGCTCCGTTCACAGCGCTTGGGTCCCTCAAAACCATAGGGTTTTGAGGGTCCAGACCCCTCCATATGAGGGCCCAGGGTCGCGTCTGGGCTGGAAGAAGAGGAGGGTTCCTCCTCAAAAAGAGTCTTCATGCCAAATAACTGGAAGTGGTAAGTTTCACCCCTCCATCTTCGCACTTCTCTTTGCGCGATATGGTCCGCGAGATGGTCATGGTTCCCACAACCCTCCTCCATGGCCCGCGCGGATTCTCACGAGCTGGTCTAACCGAGTCTAAACCCTCAACTCAGAACTCTCAGAACTCTCAAATCCCACCATGTTTGGCCAAGCTCCACCATTTGGGACTTGAGCCGTTTGAGTCTTGGTGGGTTTTGGAGACTCAGCTCGGCCCGGGGCACCGCCGGGGAACGCGACTGATCCCTCCACTTCCGGGTCCGGAGTCAGGAAAAAGACAGACCTCGTCTCCGTGTCTGGCCAGACGCTGGCTTCTTCCGATCGCCGCCGACCGAACCCCTTGCGACCCGCCGTGCGATCCGAGAAAGGCCCGCGGACGGTCGTCGGAGCGGTGCCGACTGCCAGGCCGTCGGCAGTTCCAACTGCACCGCGCTCCAGTCCGCGGTGCGCGGCGGCCACACGCCCGTCGTGGCCGAGTTGCTCGCCGCGGGCGCGGCGGTGTCTGCTCGCGACGACAAGGGCCACAGCGCGTTGCACGAAGCAGCGCAGAGGGGAAACGTGGAAATCTGGCTGAAAGGAGTGAAAGCGAAAAGCCCGTGAAGTTAGGTACAAGCGATCATATCCACATCCACCTTGAGAATTGTTCAGGTTTGTTCCACTTGTTCAGGACCTTTTGTCAAGGGGTGTCCAATCGAGATCCCAAACGGAGTGTAGGGTGTTTCTATTCTAGAAACCTGAACATTCTCCACCTGCTGTTTCCCTCCAACGACCCCACTCGTCTCTCCCCTCCACCACGGGGTGTTTTTCGCTCAGGATTTGGCACATCTCTTGTTGCTTCACGGTGCTCCCGTCGACGCGTTGACCACCGACAGCCTGACGCCGTTGCACTTGGCCGCCTGGAAGAACCATGTGGCGTTGGTGCGTCTCCTGCTGGAGGCCAAGGCCTCGGTGAACCGTAGCACACCAGATGGACCGGTGCCCTTACTGATGGCGGCATATGTGGGGAATGTGGAGGTGGTTCAATTGCTGCTAGAGTGTCCTAGCTTTTGCTTTGGAATCTTCTTTGTTCTGTTTGTTTTGGGCATGTTTTTTTGCATCTTTTGGCCCGCTTGCCCCTCAAAAAGACCTCTGGCGTGCACCTCTGCACCTCAGGTTCGGCGCCGAGGACCAGTTGAGCGCCGAGGGCTTCTCCGCCTTGCACCGGGCGGCGCAGAAGGGTCATCTCGAAGTGGTTCGACTGTTGCTGTCGAAGGTGAGAGCTGGAGGAGTTCATCCACTGGGAGACGAAGCGACCACGGCCTTACATCTGGCAGCTGCCAATGGTCATGTGGAAGTGGTGCGTTTGTTGCTGGAAGTCTTTGACAAGGATCTGGCCAACAAGCGTGGGGAGACGCCACTGCACCTTGCAGCTAGGGAGGGTCAGCTTGAGGTGATGCGACTCCTATTGGAACTGGGCGCTGACAAAGAGAAGGTGGGGGGTTCGAGCAGTTTTTTTCGTTCTTGACCCATGGGATTCCCACATCGTTCCAACCAAACTCTTCTCCCTTCCTCCATCTTCCTCCCTACCTCTTCCTACCTCCTACCTCTCTCCCTGCTTCGTGACCAGGGCAGCCAGCATGGCGATACGCCCTTGCACCTCTGCGCGCGCGGGGGCGCCGAGTGTCTGGACTCCGTGCGCTTCTTGCTGGAGCACCGGGCACCAGTCGACTCGAAGAGTCACTTGCGCGCCACGCCGCTGCACTTGGCCGTGCGAAGCGGATCGGTGGCACCTTGGATGAACGAGCTCGGGGTGAGTGATCGACCGTCGTGGTGCGATGAACTCCGGGAGCTTGGGTGACCGGTGACCTAGTCTGCATGGGTGGAAGAAGGGTATGGTTTGAAGGATTTTTCACATGAGCAAAAAGAGGTCCATCATAGTTCAAAGGCTCTTGGAAGGTTAGGGAGGTGATTTGAGAAAATCTGTGGTGCTTCCCACCTGCAATCGGTTTTCGGGCGGCTATCTCCCATGACCATCACCTTCATGCCCCTGACTACTGACAAAATCTTCAGACAGGACAACCCTTGAAGGTCCTGGTAGATGTTCTTTTGAGGAATTTGAGGGATCGTTTTTCGCTCACTTGAAGGATCTCAGATCGACACAGCCGCTGTACTGTACCGCCGCTGGTGATGACTTCCGTTCGCTGTGTCCCTGAAAAAGAGTCACATGTCGGGGTGCCGGACTTGGAGGATAAGGGTGCTGTCACATCCACTCACTGAGGACTAAAAACCCTTCCTTTGGAACTGCTGGCGGGAGTTCTGGGCTTACGGTCAAATCCTTCATGATCTGGCTAGTTCCACGGGGTCTTAAGCGCGGTTAGATATCAATTGGAGACTCCTCGGGTGATCCGAGAAGGAACCGCCCCGACCCACACTCCGCGAGTGTTCCACCGTGGAGGAACACGGTCCGACCGGTCGAGCGTGGGGAGGGTTGTTTTGGGTGCCAGTTGGCCTTTGCTGTTCGATGTCGGTTCAGGTCAAGTCTTACCCCAGGCCGTTCCGGTTCTGTGTTGGGAACCAAAGCACCCTGTAGGGCGGGATCCTGGGAGCTCGACCGAAAGAAACGCAGAAAAATTGAAGCCGGTCAAAGCCACCTGATCAAGAGTTCCGGTATGGAAAACCCATCCGCGTGCGCCGAACCCGCGTGGATGATCTTCTTTCATGTTCCCTCCTGGAGGTGTCCTGTTCTCCGCGTTCTCCGGTGGTCTCCGATTTCTGTGAGGACTTGGTTCAGGTACTGATTGATGCTGGAGCAGCCAAAGATGTGGTGTCTCTCGATGGAAACACACCGCTGCTTTGGGCGATCAAGGAGCGAAGCGGCCGAAACCCACGGGGGAGATGGCGTGAGATTACCGTTGGACCCCCTGCAACTGCCACGAAGCACGGGGGTTCGACCTTCTCTATGGTTCGATCTTAGGTTGGAGGCCAGGTTCGCTATCGTTCGAGTCGCGAACCTTGCTTAGCGAACCGTAGCGATGGCCTCCAACCTACTTGTGATGGCCTCCACCGAGCATGGTGTCCCTGCTGAGCCAACCGGAGCTGATCAGTCTATCAGGACCAGATGCAGTGCGGAAACGAACTCAATCTGGGCGTCGGCCCTTGGAAAACGGAAGGCTTTCGAACATGGAAGTTTGGACCACTTTCCTGTAGAACCCTCGTCCTCAGGGCCATGTGTCATTTCATTCTTGACCCCCCCAAAAAGTCTAGGTGCAATCCACGTGCGGACACCCTTTCATCCCCTTTTCATCCCCCTAACACAGCGGCCGTGAAAAGACATCGCTACGTGTTGGGGTTCTCTCGACCGCAGGAGAGACACGTGGAAGTCGCAGGTCTGTTGCTCGCGCTGAAGGCTGAGATGACCAAGGCTACACGAGATCTCTCGGACAACCTACTGACCACGCCGCTTCACAAGGCGCTCGACACGGCCGAAGGTCGGCGCTTCGGTCGATGGCCCACAGCTCGGGTCGCAGGAGCCTGCCAGGAGTCCTGTTGCGGTGCGTGCGTGAAGGGGTGGTCGTCCATGGCCTCTGATCTTAGGATAGATAGAGGTGATGGCCTCGGGGTATCCACCAGCCACCGAACGAAGACCAAAACGGAAGGTCCGGTGTTTTTTGATGGTTTTTTAAGATGCTCTCTATAAGACTCGATCAGAGGCAGTTTTTCCGCCGCCTGTCTCGGACGTCTTGCTAGGCCGCGCAGATGGGCGACCGAGAGATGTTGCAGCTGTTGCTGGACCATGGCTGCCCCGTCGACGAGTGCGCCGACGAGCTGACGCCCTTGCACATGGCGACCATGAATGGACATGCCGCAGTGGCCCAACGCCTGATCGATGAAGAGGCGGAGATCAATAAGGCCCACAACGATGGTGGTTGGACGATGAAGATTCGAGGTCGTCTTCCGCGCCGAGGTTCACCCACTGGGGCCGTCATACGAATCTGGGCCCTTCTCGAAAGGTGACGGGTGAGTCTGGTGCGGTGTCGGGCCAGGCGTAGGATGGATACCGCCGTGGCGATGTCCGCCGCGAGGCCAGCCAGATCGGCATGACGCCCCTGCATATGGCCGCTCGAGAACAGCACTCCGAGTGGCCTGGCCAGTCTCGTCATCAACAGAGTGGGCGGGGGGAGAGAGAAGCCCAGCTTGCTACGATGGAAGGAAATCCCCCGTGGATGGGGCGACCGATCTGGGGGTTCATGGAGCTTTTGGGGCCAAAAACCGCCTTCATCCAGTGGATGTGGATCTGAATCAAGGGCATCCCTGATCTATCGAGTTGGGGTGGGTGGGTTTCACCCCAACTTCCATCAACTTCCTTCGCAAACCGGCTCTCAAAAGGAGATGGGTGTGGGTGGGTCAAAACCAAAACCATCCAAAACCATATATCCTTCGCTACTCTCATTGAGTCTTCAACCGTTCAGTCTCCCGGTTCTGCCGCTCTTCAGGTTGCTGCGTCTCCTGCTACGGCGCCCCGACTGCGCCATCGATGCTGTGGACCGACGGGGGCAAAGTGCCTTGCACCTGGCAGCAGAGCTGGGGCACGTGGAGATGGTGCGAGCGTTGCTGGAGGCTGGAGCACAGAAGGAGCCTGACGATGGTTTTGGGTTGGAGAGCGTGTTTTTCGTGACTTTTTTTTGCGGGGTTTGTGCCATGTGCAGAGGGTGGTTTGGGTTCTCAGCCTCTTGTGGTTGTTTCTTAATACATGTGTTGCAAAAAGAAAGAGATCCAGCGTGAAGTCTCCGCAAGAAATCCTAGGGACTTCTGGATGTCTCCCGACACCCAGCCGTGGTAACGACCCCCTGGGCCTCCAGGTTCGGGAAACAGGATACAGGGGCGAGATTTCGGGAGGTCTCCCTATATTCAACTACCAGCACCCGACTCTACAGGTGCTTCCTGGTGAGCTGGTTTTGGTCGTTTCAACTGAGGAAAGGAGCTGGAAGCTTCCATGAAATCCCCTTCAATCGGTTGGAATCCCCAAGGCATCAGGTCTGAACCCTCTCGCCCCTCTCCAGCCTCGAGGACCAAGCGGCCGCTGACGGTCGCACACCCGTGCAATTCGCCCGCGGCCATTCGAACGTGGTGCAGCTCTTGCTTCTCAGCTGTTCTCCAAAACCGTTGAGGTTCTCATGTGACCGGGCTGATAGCTTTCAAACGAGCTCGACTGACCTGGTGTCAACCTCGCGACACCACCCGCCGCCGCGCGGGTCGACATCGGACGCGGACATTGGATGGCCGTCCAACTAACCCTTGGACCGTCCTGGCAATGAGTGTCCCCACCCCCGACCTGCGTCAGGTTGCAGGCTGGTGCCGCACCACAGAGGAGCGAGAGGGCAAGGACCAGCGGAAAGGGCAAAGGAGGGCGAGGTGGAAAGAATGGAGGCCTGGTGTTGGGAATGACATTGGGAATGAAGAAACCGTTCAAAACAGATGTGGCTGATTCAGCGGATCTCATGAAGAGGGCGAGAAGAGAGAGAGAGAGAGACGTGTATATTCCAAGCTGTTTCTGGCGCACTTGCCCCAGCTTGGAGCGATTCAAATGTCTTTGTCCATGTTCATTCTTGCACAACTGTTGGTTTGTTAGAAGCATGATTCTGGTTTGCTTTGCCAAGGAAAGGGCAAGAAAGGCAGCAAAGGTGACCTGTTTCACCAAGCTTGGTACTGCCAGGCATGAAGGCTCTTTGAATCCTGAAAAGGCTTGTCCTGCCAGTCCGCTGCCGCTGCTCACTGTGCTCGTCCCGAATCCTCATAGGTGTTCACGGGGCGAATCCACCGATGTAAAGGATCTCAATGAACACATGGGCCGCTTATAAAACAGGGGGACATGCCAACCAATTGATTCATGTCTGTGTTGGATTTGTTCCAGAACTCTTTTTAAAAAATAGGAAGTGTCCCTATATTATGTTCTACACCCCCATATTGGAACATACCCCGGTAAATACCAGAACTGGGTTTTTCGGTGATGCTGGTGTTTGTTTCCGTGTCTCAGGTGCCAGGTGGAGTCTGGTGACTGGGTAAAATATATCTCGACCAATGGTGAAATGTGCTTTCGTTCATCCCCACTCTGCTGGGCACGTTCTTCACTTCCCTTTTTTCAGGTTTGAGCATATCAGGTCGATGCGAGCAGCTCGCATCGGCGTGGGTGATGCGTTTCTTCGATGGAGACCCCATCGTCGGTGGCGTTCGACTCCCGTTCGACGGTCTTCGTTCGATCCTCCGTTCTTCGCCTTCAGTCGTAGTTCCTGCACGAGCGAACCTCGGTAAGGAGTGCTACGGCAGCGGCATGTCTTTCCTATGAAGGCGTCTACTAAATGATTTTGGACGAAGCAGCAAGCCCTGACACTTTGAGAAGAAAGGGAACTCGTCTTTGAGTCGACATGCAGAAGCTCTACTGAATGAACCACACAAACAAATCCCTGGCAATTCCAGTGTGGAGATCCACCGCAACGACTTCAGAACCCGGTCGAGCCCACCCCATTGGTGGGAGGAGGGAGGGAGGAGACCGAAAACTCCACCAGAACCGATGTGGACACTCTTGAACCGGAATTTCAAGGGACACGACCCGAGTTCGTCACATGTCACAAGCGACCGGGGTAGTCCCGGGGTCAAACGGAGGTGTCGGGAACGTCGGGGTGCCCTGCACGTCACATCCAGCACCATGGATGGGACTGGATGGGATGAGCCAAAGCACCCCAGCCGAACATGTGCTGCGTTCGAGTCGCGAACCGTGCTTAGCAAACCGTAGCGATGGCCTCCAACCTTAAAACGCGATGGCCTCCACCTAGTAGCTTCTATAGCTACTATAGTATGCCAGGAGTCACAAAGGGGTGCCCAACTTGGAGGTTAGGGGTGCCCCTGTCACATCCACTCACTGGATGGGACCAAACACCACCCCGACATGTGACCCCTGGTGTATAACCGTTGTTTTTTCTCAACAAGAACAGGAAGGGAAAGTTGGGTTCTGAGAACGTCTGACAGGCTGCCACCGCCGCCGATGCAAGCCAAGCGGTCAGCTGGGGGCCGGCCTTGACCCGGGGAGCGGGACGCCAGTGACGAGAAGCTGGAACCGGTGATCAAATGGAATCCAAGCATGGTTTTAATCGGTTGATTTGGAACTCTTGATGGAGACTCCCTACACCTCCTGGCCCATCCCCTCAGGTGACCGGTGGTCTTCGACCCTGGCACCCACCCCAACCCCCACCGAACCGAAACGGAGGTAGGGGCTAGGGGCGGCCTGGAGCCCAAACGGGATGATGGGTGTTACATCGGTGTCACATCGGTCTTTCATCGGTTTGAAGTCTTGACGATGTTGGGGGCAGGATCCTATGAGGCGACCGGGGCATGATCCTGCTGTGGGGATACACTGCACCGCGGATCCTTTTTTTTGCTTGGAGCCCCCCTTTGGACCTGCTGGGTGTTTCTTCGCCTTCCGAAGTGGACCTGCTGGGTGAGACCCAACCTGCTGACCCGGGTGGTTTCAGATGTCGCCCGGTGGTGTAGAGAGGTTCGAACTCACAGCCCGTCTAGGGATGGATGTCGCCCATCCCGTATGTACATACCACTATATAATTGGATTGGATCCATAAGGATTGGTCTTGGAACCTCTCTTGGATTGGCTCATATATTGTTTTTCAAGTGGGTTGAAACCACCCAGCAGATCATGCCTGTTCAGGATTCGAACTCAAGCGTGAGTACTTCTGGGGGGTTCCCCAGAAATGACCTGACCTCCCAAATGCATGTCGTCCTCCAATAGGGGCTGCCTTGGCCAAAAGGGGTGCCTGCCACACCTGCAGTTCACATGGAAGAAGCCAGAGAGCTCTTCTTCCTGCCATAGAAGGGGTAGGGAACCATAGAAAGAATTCTTCGGCCAAAGAATTTGGGATTTGGTACTATAGTAGGTTGGAGGCCATCCATCGCTAGTAGGTTGGAGGCCATCCCTAGTAGGTTGGGGGCCATCGCTAGTACCGCTAGTAAAGTTGGAAGCCGTCGCTAAAGCTAAAGAACCAGCAAGAGATGTTCTGACAGGCTTGACAGGGTCACACGTTCATGCCGACCGTCGGTCTGACCAGGCCCGACACCACTGGCGACCATGCCTTTCCTTTCTGCCCGGACGGGCGGTGGAAGGTGGTCGGGCCGAAGCCGAGCGCCGACCGGGCGGGAAGGGCGTCGCGGGCGGGAGACAGGCAGAGGCGTTCGGTCGGAGTGGCGGCATAGTTGTCTTGGAGTGGCACATGAAGCTACTGCATGGTACTACTAGGCTAGGAGCAAGAAGCTACTAGTAGCAGTTGAGTGGATTGATCTCAAGCTTTTCATGCTGAGCACATCAATTGGTATCCATCCGGGTCCATATCGACCTAGAACCTGAATGACCTCGGTTTTGGACCACCAACCACCCAAAACATGGTCTTCTCCTATCAACACAGGGGTCAAACGTCCGGGTTCCCAGGTCGTTCTGTTGTTTTTTTCGCTACTCCGGGACCATCGACCAAACGCGACGCACGAACCTCCCGGCTCAGCCGTGGTGGGTTGGAAAGTACACCCTCACCGTCGTCAGGGTGGAGCGAAGTGTCCATCACGGCCGCCTTTGATGAGGAAGGTGTTTGGTTCGCTTGGGGTGAAGGCGACCGAGTCGACCGCGACGAGTTCCGCGAAGCCACGACGCGAAGCGGCGGCGGACTGGCCGGTGCTGGGCGGGCTGTCTATCGGTCTATCGTGGTCTATCGTGGTCTATCGGTCTAATGGCGGTCGATGCATCCCGAAGAACGTTTCTTGACCGGTTTCGATCTGGTTTCGGTTTTTGTATGGCTGAGACTGAGATGAAGTCGAACAACGTTTTTGCACTAGAAAACCAGATCCTTCCCACTTGCTAAAATGATCGTTTTCAGACGGGTCATCACTGCGCTAGTGGCGATGGCCTCGGACGGCGATGGCCTCGGAGTGTGATCCACAAAGCTAAAAATTCGGTTGTAAAGGACTTCCTCTTGAGATTTTCCCAGGCTTACTCAGTCTTAAACAGAAGCAAATGGATGTTTCCACAAACAAGCATAATTGTTATATATCTATTAATGTAAAGGATCTCAAGCAAACCTGTCCTTTTTGGAACAACCATTTGTCTCGTTCGCTTTGGATTTCCAGGGTTCATGTGTTTTCAGCCTCCCACACACCACTCCAAGCCTCCCGGCTTGCTAGGCTGTCCCCCACGCTGGTTGGAGGGCGTCACGCACATCCCTCCCGAACGGGAGCGCCTTCTCCTGGTCGGGCAGACCCGGGCGCGGCCAGCGCCGAGCGCCGCAACGTGGTGGGGAAAGGGGTCGATGAAAAGGGGGCAGTCGTCTCAGAAAGCTTGGTCGCCACCCAGGCACGCTCGAACGCCTCCGAAAGCGTAAGCATTGCTCCTGCAAGCTCGCAGCTCGCGAAGCTTACCATCTACCTTTATTGTGCGTCCGGGTTCTGCTTGGATCATGCATCTAGTGCAGGTCGTTGGCGCCGTCGCCGTCCTCGGTCCTTTCCTTCGCCCGAGGCCGCGCCCGGCGGCGCCTTCCGGCGGGGTCTTCGGGCCCTGGCGGAGCTGGTGCCTTGGGCCGACTGGATCCGAGACGGGTGACACTCCAAGTGGAAGGCAGGGTGGGTGATGCTTTTGTGTCTTGTGGGTGGTTTCTGGGGCGAAACAACATCTCAATCAACAGCTGAAGAGCTGCTGCGAATCGCAGTTCCAACTCACACACCAGGTCGATGTTGCGCTCTTTGGCGCGACCTTCACTCCTTGTGATTGGATCCTGAGAGTCAGTGTTCGTTTATTAGGTCCCTTCGAAAGCTTGGCATGAGTGGAAGCAGGAGGCTTGAAAGAAGAACTGAGTAAGGGCGTGTCTTATCATGTTACATGTTACTCCAAAGGATTGGCACAAGGATTTTATGGTCATGTTACATCCCTAGGGCTCCAAGTACCTCATCAGAAGGTCTTTGGACCCTCCTGGCACCCAGCCCAGTCCCACCTTCTCAGGTAGTTGGAGCGCAAGGGCATGTTGCTTTTGTTCTTCACGGCCCTTTAGATCCGCACACTTCGACCCCTCAACCCTAAGGCCAGCTGGTCGCCGGCACCGGTGCTGCTACTTCCGGCAGAGGACCGACCTCAGCCTCAAGGCTTCGAAGGATCGAAAGCTTCAAAGTACCTACCACACAGAGGTCCTGGCACCGTTCTTAAAGATGGTCAAACAGAACGGCGACCAGCGACCGGCGGCACCGTTGAGGACTTGCTTTGCCTCGACACCTTCGCGCAAGTCTTGGAGGCACGAGAGGGCAGTGAAGGTCTTCCCCGAACGCAGCGCCAGGGCTGGACACGGCCAGTTCCTGTGGACTTGACAGAGTGGACACCGGGCCAAGTTGTGAAGTGTTGACCTAAACCCTAAACCCTTGCCTTTCAGGCGCTGGAAGAGACCCCAGGTTGTGTTCCTCAAAAACAAGTGGGCCCAAGACAGGCGCTTTTGGGGATTCTCCCACGTCCCCCCACGTGACACGTCCGTCCATCGGAGCTGGACGCAGGCGGACGTGCCTGTGAGGCCGTCGCGCGACGCCTCGTGCACGACGATTCGCGACGGCCGGCCTGGTGGAGCACCGAAAAGTCCCTCGAAGTCCAGGAAAGAAGGACCCAAACACTGTAAAGCCGCTTTCTCAAGCTGAAACGAATCATGGTTGCTCCAGCAATTGAAATCCAGGTTTTATGGCTGATTTCATGTGTGTTTTCCTGGTTGTTTGGGTGTCCGGGTTCGGTTCAAGAGAAGGAAATTGCGAACTTCAGGTCACCATTGCTTTGACCATTGCTCTTGATGGAAGAATATGGACTTCGGAAGTGATTTCACTGGTTTGTTCCGCACTGGGCGAAGGCTGACTTGCTGGACTTGGGGACGTGGTTGACCGCACGGAACCCATATCTTTTGTGAGCCAGGCGTGGCTGCACTTGGGAGAGCCACGTTTGGACACCCCCAGTTCTTGGCAACCATTCATGTAGGGAGAGGAGAACTGAGGAGAAGCAGAGTTTTCATGTGGTCTTTGACATTGATGGCGGACTGGGAAACTATCAGCAGTCTCCACAAAAAATCAGGACCGCCAGAGCAGAGCCCGTTTCGAGGAACCTTCTCCGTTTCGCGTAGACACAGATGTTTCAAGAGATATCTCAGTTCAGAGTTGGGACTGGTTGTTTCCACACGCCCAACCGAAACATGAACAAAATTACGTCCGGCCGCCGAACCGATGACCAATTGAAAGACTTGGTAGTAAAACCTGGGTAATCAGTCAAAGCACCTGCTCCGTCCGGGTCCTTTCGAACCCACCGGGTTTTTCGCCTCGGGCGAGGCCCAAAGCCCTGGCACGGCTGCGGGGCTCCGACCGATGGCCTCCAGGCGCTCCGGTGGGTCCGTGCTTTCGAAACGGGAGGGAATTGGGACCGATCCTTCTTTCGGGTCGGACAGGTGGGTGATGGTGGATGTTTCCACAGTCCTCACCTCCACCACAGAAAGGGTGCTTGATAGACACCCTCTACGCATTTGTCCCATCTAAAAGCCACCCATTCCGTCGCGCTGGCAGTTGTGTTTTCTCAGGGATCTCAAGCTGGCGCCATATTGAAACCACCATGTGGCTTTTGGTCGACAGCGGGTGTCGAACGTTTTGGGATTGCCCACCTCGCCAGGCCGTCCTTTTCGGGAGAGATAGGACCAGCAAGGAAACCTCGCTGAGGCCGCCTCGGACGCCAAATGCAACACCGTCCTTTTTCCTTTTTCTGTTCCCTTCCCATGTTCGTGGTCCTTTTCCTTGTCCTTTTTCCTATTCTTTTGCTTTTCTTCTTTACGCCGTTGCCGCCTGAGGTGCGAAACCGTTCCTTCATGCTTGCGGTCTTTTTTGGCGCGCAGAAAATGATTTTGGGGGGCTTGTTAGAAACTACACTTGTGGCTGTTCAGGAACTTACGGAACTTATAAGTCAGTTACAACTAATTTTGTAGAAGTATATTTTAGAACCTAATTAAACCGAAGTTCTCTAAGTACCGTTTAGAAGCAGTTGTTTAAGTCCTACACGTGCTTTAGCTAATTTGCAAGTGCCACAAGTAAGCCCGACCACCGAATGATTCGTTTTCCCCCAAAACAGTTGACTGGCCGCAGTAAACCAGGCCGCATCGAACGTGTCCGGGTGTTGTCCAATTGTCCCCTTCAGCCGCAGCCAACCCCCTGTGTCCTCCCTCCTCTCCCTTGCTGTCGCTGGGCCACGAGTCGTGGCCGCGCGGTCCGCCGCTTCAGCCGCCGACAGACTCAGGGCCTTTTCCTCCAGTCTGTGTGTCGGCGTTGTCGGCCCTTTTTGTCCCGGCCTTGTCCCGCTTGGCCCGCCATGTCCGAGGTGGGTTTTCTTTCGGTTATGAATGCTACAGTGATGCAGCGCTTCAAGCTTGATGTCATCATCGGAAGTTTATCCAACATTGGAACTCAAGGATTGGACCAAAAAACCGCTGAAACTGTTTGGGGTTTATGTTGGGGTAATGACTGGCAAGGACAGAAGCAACACAATGCGGTCGCTCATGCCGCGCAGGCTTCAATGCGGTGGATCCTTCTCAGGCCGGTTGGGGCGCTATGGAAACACAGGAGGCTCGTGTTTTTGTGCCAAGCGTTCGGATGAGAATTGGGACCCTAGGCTTCCAACAACCATTAATAGGCTGAATCCCGAATCAACTAAGGATTTTACACTACAAACGCCAGGTCAACCATGTTTTAAATGGTCTTGGAAGCCTAGGGGGGAGTTTTATTTTTTCTTCAGGACACCCTCTTCTCTACAATTTATACTGTCGGACACCCCATCTATAGAGAATCTATGGTTCTAAACTTGGTCCAATAGCAAAGAACTGGATTCCAATGGTCAGTTGTGATGCTGGACTTGGGGAATTGGCTTGAACCATCTGAGTGCAGCTGGAAGATACCTCCATAAGAAGTACCCACGAAACCAGAAGAAGCTGTTCACCTGCAGCCTCTTCAGCTGCTTTTCGCCTGTCACTTCTTCTTCAGGTCTTCAAACGAGTTGGGAGGGCACCTGCCAAACTGGAACAACCAGTGTATCACAACGTGGCAAGCCGGTGGAGCAGCCGCAAAACGCCGCTCGCTCCAGCGGTTCTCAGGTGGCGGGTAGTGCTGCCACGGTGCTGATCGAGCCCTTTGTGGGCGAGGCCTGTGGACCCGGAAGAAGCGGCGCGGGTGAAACGGTGGGGGTTGAACAGCAGCAAAAAGGCCACTGTAGTTACTTGATTGGCCACAGCAGTGAAGAAAGAAGGACACGAAGGAAATGGTTCGTTCGATCACAGACAAAAGTCTATACCAGCACCTTCCAAGGGACCATCAATGGAAGCTCCAGCCCACCACTAGCTCGGGACCTCCAGCCAGGACACCCCTTGTATACCTGGAACCCATTTGACCTCTGTTTTGATAGGAAGTTTGGCCATATTTGGGGTGGTGGGTGGTCCAGAGGTCAGACTTCAGGTTCTAGGTGGTCGCTCAAGCCGGAACCTTACCGAGCCTCGAACCAACGACCTGGCCTGCGCTGTTTGGGCCTTTTTGGCTTATCTGCATCTGAAACAAGGGTTGGGGTATACGGTACTTTCACAGGTAAACCCACCCAAACCCATAATGTGTTTGTGACAGAAAAGTCTCGATAGACTCCCCTTGCCAAACCATGCTAATGAATTTAGCCCGATGTTCATTTTTGTTGGAGGAGGTCTCTACGAAGGATTCTAGACTACAACACCAGGTGAACCCAACTCTTTGAGTGGTCTTCCCGCAAGGCGACCGGGATCATGACAGAGCTATATCGGCTATATCCCCATCTTCAGCCCCGGCATGTCCAAAGCCCCCGCCTCAGGCGGCGCGCCCCTGGGTGCTGGCTCTTGAGCTCGCGCGCCGACTGAACAAACACCTGTGTCCTAGCCCGAGTGCACGAGTCCTACCGGCAGGTGCCGGTGATGAAAGAGAGGGATTGCCGGAGTTGTTGTTACTAACATGCCAAAAAACTCAGAGAGATTTGCATGTGTTGCATCCTTGTTTGTTGTGCTGATTGGTGTGTTTTCTTTGGGGGGGGAGTGTCTTTTCTGTCCGATTCGGTCGTGTTCTGAAGGGCCAAGGTTCACGACGTCGAGGCCGCTCCGTTTCGCGGCCTCGCGACATCAAACCGGGGGCTCCTTGCCGCACAGGAGTCACGATCATGGCGACTCTGGTGGAATGCGCGGGTGGCCCAGGTGGCGCGTGTTGGATCGGTCGCCCGGATCACGAAAAACACATGCTACTTCTATGGCTAGGGCCGCTAGGGCTGGGCCGAGGAACTGGATTCAAGGCCCACCATGGGTTTGAATGGTGTTCCTCTTCACCACCGAGCTGTTTGACTGATTTCACACCTGTCAGGTCAAACTGAAGGCGACCGGGATTCGCGGCAGTCACCTTTTTTGGGCACAAACCCTCGCGGCCCTTCGACCAGCAGAACGCTGCTAACGACCTGGGCATGTGGAGCAGCAGCGCAGAGGAAAGGAACTCTAAATTGGACATCTCAGGTGACATTCAGTGGGAAGCGAGGTCATCGCAAGGTCGGTCGGAGGCCATCGCTACGACCGTAACAAGAAGCGACGACCGTAACGGAGCAAGGGCATCGCGACTCGAACGGAGCGATCGGACGCTCCTAGGGACGCGTAGTGGAACGTGCACCCCGGCTTCCAGAGAAACAGTAAACGATCGGCAGAATGTTGAGAGATGTAAACGAAAGATTGAAGAAAGACATGTAAAAGAGATCCATCCAACCAAGTTGTTGGTGACTCCTGGGTCGCAGAAATCTTCCTGTCATGTCTTCATCTTGAAAAGCAACCCATTGATGAGAGTGATCCAACCAACCGCAGTGGCGAGCCAAGTGATCCAACTCGTCGTCGCTCCTTTTTCGGTTTCGATTCTCATAGGTGGAAGTGAAACTTAATAGAGAGTCTTTCTGAATGCACAGATGTTCAATGGAAGAAGCAGGGGGTGCACTTGTTCTTACGACAGCCAGAAGCTTCAGGAGCGAAGGAAGTTCGACCACCCTAAAGAACCTAAAAAGAAAGGTGTAAACCCGAAAACTGGTCTATGAAACGCGTTTGGAGACATCAAAAAAGCTTGTTTCGCTTGTTTCACACGTGTTACGACAGCCATGGCCTGGCGATTGCTCTGTGTTAGTCTGGCGATTGGGCCACTTGGACCGGCCGACCGGCCGTTGAAACGGACCGTCCGTCATCGCAAGGTGGTCTGCTAGGCAGGCGACCGACCGTTTGGTCGCCCAGCATTTGAAGAGGCGGAATCCCGCCACGAGACCCGTCGAGAGATGTTGCGACGAAGCCAGACACGTCGGTCACGGACGGGTCGGTCCCAATTTGGGTTTAGACGTCCAAGCGGACGTCGAGTGGGGAGTGAAAGGTTCGGAAATGGAGAAAACCCCTACTGCAAGCTCTGCGGCTTCCTTGCGTCTTTCAAAGCTCGAAGCTTTGGGTGAGAAGAGCGCCCCCTGAGTTCCTGGTTCGGACAAAACCTCCAAATGCAATACGGTCAAAAGCTTTTGATCCGAAGAATTCGATGGTCGTAGATTCTAGATTCTGTCCAAGCAGGTTATGCTTCTTACACTTGGGAATCGTCTCCCGGTCATCAATCGTTTAACAGTGGAACATATACGGCAACGCCACTCTGCTGCTGCTGAGTGCGTTGCTTTGAGCGGTCCGCGATCACAGTGGAACCATGTCCCTGATGAGGCTGAGTCGGTCGGACACAAAGACACCCCCTCCCCCTCATCATCTGCACGAAAATAGATTGGGATTGCATATGTCGACATGTTGAAAAACAAAAAAACGGTCGTCGTGGGCAATGTCTTTCGACCCGAAGAGCAATGTCCTTTAGCCTGGTGGGGGTTAAATATATAGCCGGACTTCGAGAAAGCAAAGGATTCTTGTTCGGGATGCCCCGAAACAGGGTCTGATTTCCCAGTTTGATGGTACAAAAGATCAAAGGCTGGAGGATGTCCTGCTCATGTCCTTCGCAGATTTATCACACCCGAGTCTTCAGTGTTCTTGGGCATCCTGAACCCGTGTAGGTGCCCAACAAATCTCATCGCGCCCGGCGCCGCATTGACATCTTCACTGATTCTACACGTGCGCACCATGCAGAGATTGACAGACGGTCCATACTGACGGAAGTCCAGATAGTCGGTCTGAAACGATGAGCCGTCCGAAGAGTTGCAACTTCAGCCACGGGTCCCGTGCCACGGGTCCTGCGGGTGCGGTATCTCCTGTTGGCCCGTTTTGGTCGGACTCCATCGGAGTCCGGACTCGAGGTGGAAGGAACGCACACGTTCGCAACCATCGACGTTCGCACTGGCCCATCGTCTTTGGGATTTTGCCTGTTCACCTAGTCTATAAGTGTATGTTCCAACTAGGAAGGCTCTTGAAGGCTCTTGTGTTGGTGGGTTGAAGGTGGGAGTGGAGAATCATACGGCCTGCCACGTTCCCCATGCCGCGCATCGTGGACTTCCGAGGCATGCCGCCTCGATGGAGCTGGTGCGCCTCGGCTGGACGGTGGGGTCGGACCGTGGGGGGGGGGCTCCTCACCACGGTCGCGTGGGGGTGGAAAGAGACCAGAAGAAGCATGGAGGCAGTTGGAGACCTTGCTCCAGGTTCGCCCTGATAGGGTTGGAGAGAGGAGACTGGCTGTCCGTTGCCTGTGGAGCCGGAATCAGCACAGCCATGGGCCCACCAAGCAGCAAGTCGTGCCTCTTGGTAGATGGATAGAATTCGGACTGAGAAGGAAGGAAATACGTGTTTTCAGCTACAAAATGAGTGGAAAGATCGGATTGCGAGCATGGTCAGAAGTTCGAGGGGGGCTACGCCGCCATGTATGACTTCCTTTATGACCATCGTCTCTTTGGGAACCTCCCAACCCCTCTTCTCACCGCGACGAGAGACCGCGTGGACGAAGTGGTGGGACCCGAGAGGGTCCGCGGACGAGACGGCACCAAAGGTGGCGAAGCGCGAAGTCGCGACGCCAAGGAGTGAGAACTTTGATGATGCGATCCAAAGCGCTCAGAAGAATCTCGGAACGCCTTACGTGGAAGATGGGGCGTGTCTTTTCAATGGTTTTCGTGCACGATCTGCGTGTTCCGGAAACTGCTTCCCTTTCTCGCCCCGTGAAAGCACCATTGAAATCTCATAGCCTGAATCCCGGACAACCGTGCTGTTCTAGTCAGGATTTCACACTCCAAAACCAGGTCGTTCTCATTGGTTAAAGGCTGGGGGGGCTTCCAGTTCATCTTTGTTCTCGTCCGTCCCGCCATCCCGCCGTCCCGTCGCAGGAACGCCTTCGTTCTCTTCTGCTCCGACTTCTGCCCCTGGTGCAAGAACTACCTGAATGCGCCTCGCTTCCCTTGCTATTCGGTTGGAGGCCATCCCTTTTAGGTTGGAGGCCATCGCTATTACAGTAATGTTGGATCTTGATTAGTAAAGAGGCCCCCATCAAACAAATGGGGGGACCTCTTTAATAAACTACCACCAAAACAAATCTGGGTTCCTGGGAGGATTCCTTTTGTAATTGATTGTAGTATTCATTTTCCTTTCTGAGGTTCTTTGTAATTAGATATTCTCAGCAACCCTTTTCCTTTGCAGTTTGCAGTCTCAGATCTTCAGCAGATCTTGAGGACTACTACCTTGAAAATTTGTTTACGAGCAATCTTTATTTAAAGGTTTGATTATGGAATTGATGGCTTTGGGAAGCTGTGAGTTTTGAAGAACCAAAGAAACCGATGATTACCAATAATACTCTCAGCAAGCCAGCTATTGGCTATTGGATTTGAAACTCTCATTTTTCAGATTATGACACATTAGGGTCCCCAAATTTTTGCATAATAGAGAATCCTTAAAACAAGCATGGGGTCAAAAATTACTTTTCAACGTTTAGCATTATAGAGGGCCCTATTACTAATCAGCATCCAACATTAGATCGGAGGCCATCGCTGTTTGGTTGGTGGCCATGGCTATTAGGTTGGAGCCCATGCATCGCTTTTGGATTGGAGGCCATTGCTATGTGTTTAACCACACTGTTTGGGTTGAACCGACCGGTGGAGAGTGTGTGGGGTTCGGAGAAGGTCCCGTGTGGGTTGATGTCCTCCGTTCCTCATGGCAGGAAACAGCCGGTTGATGTTTAACAGCTGCAATTGACACCTGAGTTCTCAACATGAAGCTTGAAACTCAAACAAACCAAGTCATGATCAGCCTAAACCCAAAAATGTCCACAACCGGCTCTCCTCGCACCCCGGGCCCGGCGACTGGGCCGCCCTGGGCTGCCCTGCTTTTGAGGCGACATGGACCTCGCTGATGCAGAAGCACAAGGGCTCCAAGGAGGTACCCGGATCGAGACGGTACCGAGTTTGGCGCTTGACAAACAGACGAACCTCTGACAGAAGCGTGGAAAGACCGTGTTTCAGACCAGAACGTTGTCCCTCTGCTCCATGTTGGGTGTGTTTCAGTGTTTTGTCTGACTTCCATGCTTGTTGGAGGGCAGGAGGGTTCTTTTTTCGAATGCATCTGAAAGGTTTCTACGACGCATGGTGGTGGGTGCCACATGGTGACATGGAAGAAACCTTGAATAGGTCCAGGTTTCCCTTTGGCCCCGAAGCTTAGATTCCTTACGTTGAAGGCGATCACTAGTAGGTTGGAGGCCCACCGTAGGTTGGAGGCCATCGCTTATAGGCTGGAGCCCATCGCTATTAGGTTGGAGGCCATCTTCTCCTTCTCCTTCTCCTTCTCTTCTCTTCTCTTCTCTTCTCTTTTCTCAGTCTACTTCATCTCTTCTGTCCTCCAATGTGAGTATTCTGACAAAGTGTGTCCCTTTCCCTTCTCCCTTAACCTTCCCGATCATCCACTCCAAAAACTGGCATCGTCCGCGCCAGCGGCCGCGCAGCACTCGGACTGCAGGTCTTGGTGGCACACATCGACTGCGGAAGTCCGGCGTATGAAATGGGAGAGCACCCCGGCGATCTCTGACGAATCGGTCCCTGGAGAGCACCGGGGTGGGGGGGCGACGGCGATCTCTTGTAATTCGCCGCTAAGGAGGGGACGTTGTTTCCAGGCGGATGCCGACGTTTGGATCTGAAAAAAGGGAAGAGAGAAAAGCATCGTAACATCGTCCCCACAAGTACCATTTCGACTCTACTTTCATCGACCGGTTTCAGACTGGTCACCACAGTAAAGTCCGACTGGTCACCACAAACCCGACCAGTCGAGTGGACTCCCAGGAGATCTGGAACATCACACCTTCCAACCATTCATTCACCTGGAAAGTCGAAGGGAACATCCTTCCAACCACCATTCTTGGACCATGAACCAGCAGTCACAGAGCTCGGGGTGGTGGACATAGTCCCATCCAGGGGCCGTGGATGTGACAGGGGCACCCCGACTACCTCCAAGTTCGGCACCCCGTCTTGTGACTCCTGGCATACTATAGTAGCTATAGAAGCTACTAGGTGGAGGCCATCGCGTTTTAAGGTTGGAGGCCATCGCTACGGTGCCATTCATGGTGCCTTCCGCACACCACGTCACGGGCCTTCCGCACACCGAGGCTCCGCTCGCCGGGCACCGTGACGTCGGCGTGCAAGCGGTATGGAGTGGATCCCATTTGCGACAAGGAAGAGGGCCACATCCCCACCATCAAGTACTACGACGTGTCTGCTGGATGAAGATAGATATGTGGTGAAAATGACAGATGGATGGTTCGGAGGGATGGTAAGTACCCAGCCGCGTCCCCCAAAGCAGGGTTCCTTTCTTCGTATGGTTTTGTCCTGGTTTTGGGATGGATGGGATTGCAGTTTAACCAGGTGTCCATGTTCCAAGCTCGTTGCTGTCCGAAGAGGATCGGACCTCGAAATCCTCTACTCACCGGAACCTTCCACCAGTGTGGTTTCTGGGGTAGTGACCAGCCCTGCCAGCCCTGCCCACAGCATCACTAGCCAATCTTCCATCACCGACCTTTACTTAGCCTGCACTTATCTCTTCACCTATTAATTTCCCTCAAGTGTGTCCACATGTTTTTGCTCACCATGTCATCACAGTGATTCTTGTCCCACTACTTTCCCAGAGTTCGTCTCTACCCTATCTATTCTTTAATGATCACAGCTGGCCTCTTTTCACAACAATTCACATACCCACGTTCCTCTGAATTGGGCTGGTGGCCCCCTTGAGAAACTGAAAACCCGTCGCCGCGGTTTGCAGGGCCGACGTCTCAAAAGGAGTGATCATCTTTTGCCGACTGTTAGTGGTTTAATATATAGGACACACTAGCTTGATTGGTGAACCCTTTTGACACGAGAATGGTACCCAACAAGACACGATCGTATTCTCTGCCTGATCAACTCTCTCATGCCCTGCCGAAAACATCGCCCGAAGGTTCGCTCAAGCTCCAAGTCATCCAACCAGACCCCATCATCCACCACTGGCAATGGGACATACCGTGACATACCGTTACGAACAGGTTGGTATGCTTGGGAGGCTCCAATGAAAAGAGAACCACCAACTCTAACAGTGGATTCCAAAGTCAAGGGACGTACGACGCAAGAACGCCACGCCACGTGCGACGCTTCAGAGCTGCTTTTCTCTGGCGTCCCAGAGGATCTCTATATTGGAGATTTGTGTGTCCGGCCCGTCAGCCAGGAAACGCCAGCCAGCCACCTTCCGGCAACGACGCCTCACGCTTTATTCGTCCGACCCTTCAGCAGGGGAACTCCCACGTCGGGACGTCGGCTCACCGAACGGGTGCCCCAAACCACCGTCGGAGGTCCGCTCTCTGAGTCTTCGGGCCCACGCCTTCCGTGGCCGCGGCCTGAGGAGTGAAGAGAAGTGGCGTCGATACAAGAAAGGCTGGGAAGAGGCGAGTTGTCGACCCGTCCTTCCAACGCCTGGCGTTCCTTCCCGGTCGGTGGGGCGTCGCGTCGTCGACGAACAAGACCACGGTCGGCCGCCGTGGAGATTAAAAAAGACATGTCTTGTTGGAAACATATCGAAGACGTATACAAACAATGTCTTTAGATCCGTGTTTCATGTTTTGTTTCTTCTTTTCTTTCTCTTTTTGTCTAAACAAATGGGTTTCTTTCTTCTTGCGAAGGTCAGACCGGTCCCTGTAAAGGAGCCTGCGGCAGAAGTGGCAGACGTGTACGTCATAAGAACTCCTCAGACTGCAGAAGAGATTGCGCCCGTCCGGGCTGCTGTCGGCACCTGGGATGCTGTCGGCACCTATGTGTGCTTGCAAATGTGTTCTGTAGCCTAGACTTCCAAGACCATTATAAAAATGGTTGACCTTGTTTTTGAAATGAAAAATCCTTAGTTGATTCGGTAAAGCCTATTAAAATAATGGTTGTTGGAAGCCTAGGGTGTAGCCTCCTGCCTCGACCAATATCGTTCAATCCCTCGAAAAACCGGAGATCGAACTCGCGACCGGAAAGGAGCACCGGAATGGGGGCATGATCGTTGAACTCGAAATCAAGTTTGTTTGGCCTATGTTGGCCTATGTTGGCCAGATGACACTCTCCCAGGTTCGTCCGTAGGGACTGGGATGACAATCACACCGGCTTTCTCCATCATCTAACCCCAAAAGAATCCTCCGACCGACCGTTCGTCCCCTCCGACCAGGTCCGACCGACCGGAGTTCGAGGTTCGACGTCAAGCCGCCGTGGCCGGCGTCCGTGCCGGTCAGGACACCTTGGAGGGCTTCATTGGTGATCGTTTGCGACCGGCGTGCAATGTGAAGACCGCGGAGCACTGCGATGACAAGGAGTTCGCCTGTTAGCACGTCCGACGGCGTCGAGGGGGAGGGGGGGGCGAGGTGGTTTCGCTGTTGAGAGCATCGAGGGTTCCGTGGCCATGGTGCTCATGGCTGGGTCAATTCGGCGTCGAAACCCACAGAGGCTGCGGCGAGCAGAAGAGGAAAAAGAGGCTCATGGCTGAGCATACATTATTATGTTTTGGGTCAATGTTCCATTTTCTTGTTGGCGGGTGTTCTTTTCGGGCGGCGTAGATTGGTGGACAGACCCTAAGAATCTCCAAGACGTTCAGCGCAGATGGACTTGGACTTGGATATTGAAATGGCCTTTAGTGAAGGCCCCAACGAGTTGCCTGCTACATGTTGGTTTGGTCCAAAACCCTAGTTGTGCGGGTCAACACCCTAATAGCCAGGAGGGTCCAATTAGCCTTTGGGAATATTGTTTGACTCGTGTTGCGGGGAAGAATGCAGGGACTGGATGACTTTCGTTTTGCGAGCGATCTGACCTACAACGCTGCTGGGAATACATGATCTATACCAGGACACCCGTTTAGGGGTGTCTATTGATAGCCCCTTAGAGGTGATTCGGGGTGTCCATTAACCACCTTTTGTGGGTCCTAGTACATCAGGATTGAACAAGAACATGTCGTACTTCGACGGCACTCATGTTCTAAGACGACAAGGAGACGATGGATCCCGTTCGGATTCTTATGGCGTTTCTTTCCCTCAGCCCACTTGGCCGCTGACCTGCCGCCCTGCAGACGTCACGCGAAAGAACCGCGATCTCCGCGGTGAGGATTTGAACTTCGTCCACAAGCACGAGGCGGCGCCTCAGAAGGAGCTCGAGCGGCTCCAGAAGATGCTCACCTCCGGATCCTTCAACGTGGAGCTGCTGGGACCATCCGTTCAGAGGTTCTTTGTGGTCCTTCTCGCCGGGCGGGGTTTATAGCGTGGCAGTCCCGATCGAGGCCGTTAGAAGCGGGGGTTGGAGGAAGGTCCGGAATTGGGCGAAGAGGGTCCAAGGATTCTTAGGAATCATTTTGCATGGAATCAGAATGATTGTGTTTTTCCTTCGTTTTCTTTCTTTTTTCTTCCCTAAAAAAAGAGGTAGCTGTCGCAGTAGCTTTTTCGCTCGCGCGCGCGCTCCGCGGGGTCCCTACAAGTAGCTACTACTGACAGGATGCAGGAGAGCTCGCGCTAATGATTTGGTTTTGGTTTCTAGATCTTTAGGGAAGAATCAGAATGTGTTTTTTCTTTTTCGAGACCTAATAGCGATGGCCTCCAACCTACTAGCAATGGCCTCCAACTTAACAGCAAAAGGGAACCTCTAATAGCGATGGCCTCCAACCTACTAGCAAAAGAAACCTAATACCGATGGCCTCCAAGCTACTATAAGAGCGATGGCCTCCAACCTCCAACCCACTAGCAATGGCCTCCAACTCAAAAGGAACCTCTAATAGCGATGGCCTCAAACCTGCTAGCAATGGCCTCCAACCTACTAGCAAAAGGAACCTAATAGCGATGGCCTAGGGATGTGCTTCAACCTCTCTGGCATGAAGCCTATGTGCCTGCCACATCCTAGCCCCTAGGAGCCTGATCTGGTGGGGTCCTAGGGGAGAGGATGAGGAAGACACACCCACCAAGGCCCACCAATCACCAGCGCACAACATGACCATAGCCTTTTCCAAGCCTCCAGGTACAAAGAATGGTCGGTGAGGCCAATGGACCTAAGCAGATGGAAAGATCATCAACATGAATCCACATATCAATTTCATCATCCTCACCATACACATGAAATCCAGATGCCAGATGCACAAGCATGAAAAGTTGATGGCGTCTCACTCTTTCTCGGCTCGGGCTATCGAAGCCTTCCACTTTGTCTAGTGACCAGTGGACCCTACAGAGCAATTAACCTTAAATCTCCGGATCTCGAACCTGAACGTTAGTTGGACTATTGTAATTGTCTGACTGATGAATGTGATTGAATTTGTATTGGTATTGGTTCCCAAGTAGTGTAAGGAAGTAAGGTAAGGTAAGCTTATGTATAGCACAGTTTGTACGCAACATCAGACATAGTAGTGCTTCTGTTTGTCTAGACCCGGAGTGACCTGACATCATCAGTAATGCTACTAGCGCACTAAGTGCATAGCCTCTCTTGAGACTTTCAGACTCGAAACTGATGCCGAACTTTCCATGGCAGTGCTCGAATCCTTCTTGGATTGAATGCAAGCGGAAGCTCCGCATCCACTCATTGCCTTGGAGCTTGGCTTTCCATTCTCCCACTCAGGGATCGCGACCACCGGGAACGCAGGCTTTCCCTTCGCGGACTTGAACCTTTCTCCAGGCCTGAGATGTATAAATCAAAACACAGGTTTACAATAGTCACAGTCACAACTTCACAACCGTTGCGCCGTTGCGATTTACCAACATACACAAATGGTCGATGGTCATTTGTCAATTGTCAAATAGTCAACTCAAAAAAAAATATTGAACAAATTTGAAGCACAGCAAATCGCGTGTCAGCACAGCATAGTGCTGATCACCAACCTGCTTCACTGTGCACATTCCACCGGATCTGTCATGTGGCACAAGCGCAATGTAGTGGATCTTCAAAGTCACTGGCTTGTCGCACCATAGAAACTCCATGTCATTTTCCTTGACGATGAACCTCAAAGATGGGTTGGTGCTTGGATCAGTGACGCTCGGAACCATCCATGCTGCACTGAAGACCGGGTTGTCCACTGTGCTGAAGCCATCAGATTTGACAACAAAGTCGATGCCACCTGAGAGTTTCTGAGAATGAACAACAAATGAGCACTGGGGCCTTAACCTGGTCATCTTCGTATGATGATTTGATGATATGGTTTGAGAGAATGAACATGTTATCAAACCACATTGTCAACAGAAAATGATCATGGATTATGGATCGTCAATAAACTATAACTATTACAGTCAGTGACAATCACAGTGACATCACAGCATCACCCTTACAGCCTTACAGCCTGACAGTTCAAAAAAAATACACAACTTCCAATTGAGATTCCCACCATAAAAGGTATTTGGCGTACCATTTGGATCTGTGAGCCTGAGACGAAGCTGGTTCACTGGCTTGCCTGGTCCTCGAATTGTCTTGGACCTTCCTGCTGATGCACCAGCGCCATCTTCTTCCACAAACTCACCTGAATGAATGAAGGAATCACTGACATGACACGCAAGTGACAATGGCTGGCTAGTTGAGGGGCAAACCAGTCTGAGGGGCAGAACAAAAACAATGCATAAATTGTTGAACATAAAGACAACTTACTTTAAACCAAACCAAAGATCCGATTTGGCCAAAAAACACCAACTGGAAAGTGATAGGCAGCTTGTAGAGTTTTGTATCATCGTCGTCTGCGGAGGTCTTGATATCATCAGGATTGTCAATGAGCCACAGAACCTCAGTTGTGGTCTTCCCACCAACGCCCTCAATCAACTTGATACACAGGTTCTCCTTCATCTCCAGCTCAACCTTCCTGACCAGTGAGCCAAAACATAACACTGTGATATGTTGTGTCATGAGTCAGTCATGAGACATGAGGTCTTGAACAATAAACATAAACATCACACACACATCACAAACAAATAAGGCAATGACACTGTGTCACACTGTCACAATGAATCAACAACATTGACACCCGTTATGACTATGACTCGATTATGACAATCAATCATAACATCAACCGGCCTCGCAAACTGGAGCAACCACGTTTGCATCTGCTGCATCAAGGCCAAGTTCTTGTCAGCCGCAAGGATTCCATCAGAAGAAGTGGTAAACTGGATCAACTTGTTCAAGCCAAAGAGGTCTGGCGGTTGCGGCTGTGCGCCCTTTCCACCACCCTGATTCTGTGTCTCCGTTCCCGAATCCAATCCCAAGTTCTTGGCTTTGGCTGTGACTGCCTTGACATCATGGGTCTTGAGTATGGCTCCAACATCCAAGGCTTTGTTGTCATTCAGTACCTGGAAAGCTGTATGCCACACTTCGCAAAAAGTGTCAATTCCACCAATGACACAGCCATCAAGCTCTATGAGGGACTGGAGAACACTTGTGTCGCGCAATCGGGAGAACAAAGTCTTGAGTGAAGATGCGGATGTTTCACAAATGCTCACCAGCAATTGAACCATGTAGTGCGCTCGCAATCGGAACAAAGGCAGAATCAGGCTGGGCGTCATGTCCAAGTCCTTGATTGTGCCCAGAGCATCAGTGTTGATTGCCCATCCTGAAGCAGTGTTGACATGACATCAGTGAGACGGTGTGAGCCGTTAGACTGTGACAATTGACAAGAGTCCCCAAGTGTGACTAAGTTTACATGGTGTAGATTCAACTTGTTTGAGAAAAAACTGTGTCTGGCTGACTGGTGACATGTCGCAACAAGAACTCAGAGCAACAAAGAACGCTCCTGAAGAACAATGCTCCAGCAACAAGTTTGCAAAGCACATCCAGCCATCGTTGAACACAGGGTGAACAGCCGTAGACAAAACAAACACGATGTCTGCCAATGGAGGTGAATCGCAATGAAGACTGCATGATGTCCTGTCGCCCGAATGTGAGCATGTACAAGACATGAGCACAGACGCTTTCATATGGCCAAAGCTGGCATGCGCTGACACTATGGCGGTTGGTGCGAGCAATTCTGAAATCTTGGTTGGCTCTGCAAGCAACCACTTGCGCACGTGCTCAGAAAACAAGCCTAGCTTGGATGCAATGCTCAGTGTCTCATCTGCAAAGGACTTTTCTGATGACCCTGCGACCAGCTGGTCCAAGGAGCTTCCATCTGACCCTGCACCAGACACTCCAGAGCTCATCAATGCGTTGGTCAGCTGCAACTTGTGAGCCTCAGGGCAAGTGTCATATTTAAGTCAGTGATGGTGATAGTCTGTGATAGTCATAGTCATAGTCGTATCACGGTTCACTAATATAAGTGTTTGTTAGTGTTTGTTTTGCGCGCTAACATTTTAACAACACATTCATGTCATGACGCAAAACAAACATGCCCTCATACACTCCTTCACCAACTGCTGCACTGCAAAGGACTTGAGCGCAGGTCGCAAGGAGCTCCATTTCCGATAATGCTTTCCTTTATCACTCGACCCTGTTGCGAGGACATAGCTACCAGTGAAAGCAAAGACCAAACCAACGCGGACAATTTCTTCTTTCACCACGATGAATTCATCTTGGCTGAGCTGGGAAAAGGCATGCAGCGACTTCAAGGATTTGACAATGTGGTTGGCGAGCGACATCAAATCATCAACCCAATATTTCTGTCGCACACCCTTGTCACAGGTCACTGTCGTGTCTCGCACACCTGACTCTTCTGGCAGCTCTGGCTCAGGAGGACCTGCGGAACTCTTGGCTTTGGCTTTTGCGCGGCGCTTTGGAGCGCTACCACCAGATCCAGCTTTTCGTTTCTTGCTGGTGCCAGAGCAAACAACTGATCCAATCATGGTAGTGAAAAGTCGAGTGATCATTCCCTTCTTGGATACAGTGTCAAAGGCCCAAGTGTCAGAAGAATCTTCTAGAAGGGGAACCTGGGCTCAGACCCACTGTTGACAGTGGTGTGTGTGTGTCGTTTGTTGTATGGTTGCATTGGTAAGCCGGTAAGGGTCCTGGAGTAAGGGTAAACAGTTTAAACGTAGAAGGTGTTTGTATCACGATAGTCACGATAGTCTCGGTGTGTGTTCTTTAATATATATATATATATCACATCACAGTTATATCACATCACTGTGTGCCTCTGTGTGTTGCATCTTGCATGTAACATGACGGGTCTGAAGTCTACAAGCAACACAGAGTTTGGAGCATTCTATCACCAACAGCTGCACGTCGTCTTCGCTCATGCCGTCCCAAATGTTGGTGAGGATAGCCTGCCCACAGCTCACGATGCACTGGAGTACAGTACTGTTCACAAGCTTCACGTTGCCGTAGTCGCAGCTCTCTCCCATGGTGGCCGAAAACTTCTCCCAGCAGTTCAAGCGCTTGTGAAAAAGGTTGTAAGCTGCCCTGGCTGCCTCATACAGCTTCCACTCGTTATATGTTTCTCCCCAGTCTTGATGACTTTTCAACCAAGCAGCACCTGTCACCGGCCATCACCATCACAGCTGTGCAAACAAAATACAAGTACCGTGAACCAAGGAACCAACCAAAAAAATATAGTATTTATTTTTTTTATATATAACAAAAACATAAAACATATAACAAATGACTAACCGTCTGCACGCAAAACAAGAACCCGTATCATCATCATGTGTTGTTACAAAACAAAATTCTTACAACTTACAACACCAAGTAAATCAACGCAAAGTCGCATTTTGACTCATAGTCACGGGTCTGCCAAGTGATGCCGTTATCGTTCTTGTACTTGTTGAGACCAAATTCAACCTTGTCATCGCTACACGCATTGCCACATTGATTACTTATGACTTATGACTTATGACTACTTCTACTTCTACTACTACATATATGCAAGTTGGATATGTGTAATGTGAACAGTGAGTTGAGTTGAAGACAAATCGAGTCGAATCATGAACAACATAACAACAAAACAGTACAGAACAAACAAGCAAAACAAACAAACAAAGAAACAAACAAACAAACAAAGAAACAAACAAACAAACAATGTAACAATGAACAAGAACACGGACACAAACAAACAACAGCAGCTCACTGGCACTAGTAGAGTCCAGCGCATGGTGCATGGAGTCCATACATAAGACATTAAGACATCAGGCATGAATGCAAACACAGTCATGACAGCCCAGCAACGTCTGGCACAGATGCCATCAACTCCACAAAGGAAGTGCCGGCACCGCCGTGAAACCTGTTGTGAAGTTTTACCAGATACTTCGATATAGAATCTGGCATCCTGGAGTCAAATATCCGGACCTCTATTCCGCGTTGCAATGTCCTCAGCAAATTGCTGTTACCAGGCTCCTGATGCAAAGCAGCGTAAAACGCTTCCAGCAAAGAACCGTAGGACAACGCCCGATAGGGGCTGCCAGTGCTGCATGACTTGGTGGATCGCGATGGCTCTTGCACCCAACATTCTCCCCGGACTCCTTCGCAAATTCCGCGAGCCTGACATGACTTCACATAAGCTCGCTTGACCCCTGCGTGAGTCCGTTGGTTGCAACCATGCCTGATGATTCCTTGCATTCTAGAGGCAAACGGTGCATTCACAGAGTCTGGCGTGTTCGTGTCCAAGAAGAACTGAATCCTCTGCTTTTGACCGACCTGGTATGTGTTGAAGATGGCGTCCAAGAGATTGCCTCCATTCAAATCTCCAAAGATGTCTTGGACTGACAAATCTGGATTGTAGATATCAACTCCTTTCTTTGCGCCAGGTCCACTGCCATCACCACTGCCGTTCATCTTGTCACGACCACAATGATCGTGAACCAACTGACACTGAGAAGCACTGGATCTAGATCACCACTATGCGACGACAATTTTTGCCAAAATGGCTTTCGATCAAACGGAATTGATATGATTCATGATCAATCCAATGTCCAATGACTCAATGAATAACCACAATCACACTCACAGCGCTCCCCTAAGGAACTAGAGTGAATCAATGAACAAATGAAAGTATTATAAGTCTGTTAGTTAGTTAGGCTAATGCAGATCACATCAAAGCAACAAGGTGACAGTCGACAGTCGATAGAAACGATCAGAAACAGTGGCCAAACAATACAACGGCCGAACAACGTACGATATCTAACAATGTCATTCATTGCATTGAAACAAGCGCGTCACAGGCACAGGTCACGCAGCACATTATTTTCTCATGGTGGGTGGTGCGTGATTGAATTGTCAGTGCAAAATGGCAGTAGGAGGAGACGATGATTGTCTGTTGGTGAAGCTATATCTTAACTCATCATCAAAGAAACAACACAACATAACATATAAGGATATCACATAAGGCCGACTTATAAAGTTGGTTTAGTCAGTTTAGTCTACAGACTACAGAGTCTAGCTTTACTCAGCGATATATATGGTGTTTTGTTTGTCACATCATGTACTGTACACCCCCAGACACACCGCATCACAAATCATGAGCAAGCTCGGCTCATGGGCTCATAGTCGTGCACGCTTGGATGAAGAAGCGAACCTACCAGGCGAGCTGGCCACCTGCACAATTTGATCATCCATTGGTGCTTGGCGCTTGCGCTGAAACAACTGAAGCTGCAGAATTGACTCATCAAACTCAACCTGGGTGAGGCAAAACAGAATTGCCAATCCAGACACACACACATGCATGGAGTTGCCAGTCTGATGACAGACTGCCCGGCGGGATGGCCATGGTGTGAAAGGAAGCCCTCGCTTTGCCAACTCATCTCTCTTTGCATACGACGATGTAGGCTGGCCATATGTGTAGGTTGCACACGTAGGGAAACCCTGCAAGGTCAAGGTTTCCCGCTTGGTAAGCCAGCGACGATGCAAGGGTGACATCAACAAGTTCACGCTGGCGATGATTGTGCACATCTCCTCTCAATGTTCAATGCTGCAAACCCTCAACAAAACTACAAAAGAATTAAAAAAGCAATGCTGAAGATTATGCTTGTGAGTGCAGAGTAAACAACAAAAGAAAACTAAACAGCCAACCTAGACCTAGCAGCACTGAAACTAAACCTAACTATAGTCATTGGGTTGCTTCCTAAAATGATACAGCGTAACACAACAACTTGCCCGAGTGCCTGATGTTTGGATCTCATTGGCTTGACATTTGGATCTTGGTTGAGGGAAAAGACATCCATGGAGCCAAACTTGTCAATGTACTTCAAGTAGAATTCATGCTCAGTCTGTGTCAGAGTGGATTCGAAGGCCGCCTCTGAACCATCCTCCTCTAGACACGGCAGCTGAGCATCATGACCTTGACCTGCATTCTTCCATCGAGATTCAGGACGAGAAGCTGCCCAAGCAATTTCTTCATTCAATGCCTCTGCATCATTCCTGGAATGATCAGAATTATTGTTTGTTTAGCTTGGTACTTAATACAATATAAGATCTATGAATCTAAGACTATTGTGATTTGGTGAAAGAAAACCAAAGGACATCATCAAATCATCAAAGTCTAAGTGTCTCCCAAAAGAATATGTTCCAGTCACATGTCTTCTGTCTTGTGAAGATGTTCGTGAAGATGTTCAACATGGTGTTGAATGCCAGCGTTTTGGTCTTGTGACGGCCCCTAAATTGAAGCAACGTCAGGTGAACAAACACAATCATCATCATTTATTGAAAAATATTGAACCAATTGGGATAATCATTAAACCAAACACTGATTTGGTTTAATGAAAACTGATTCAATGAGTGTTGATGCAAGTTGCACTGCCCATTGTCGAATCCTCCGAATAGGCCAGCCGTGTTGGTGTGGGCTCATGATTGCCCTTGTGAAGTCATACGCTGGTAGCATCTCGGCAACTGCATCGCGAGGAAAACTGTCCACACACTCATGGATGATGATCGGCTCTTGAATCATCATCCGTAGTCCTGCCCATATCAAGAAAAAGCAAAGGCCATCGCATGATCGCGATCTTGATCGCCCATGGAGCTGTGCGCAGTGCAAACTGTCCCTGCAATGTTCAGCATTCCAACAACACGGCTGATGTCACAGTCCTTGCCATGCACAGAACACCAGGCGTACCTTGGCAATGTGACAACTGATCATTGTCGCGTGCACACACACTACATAACTACGTTACTTAGACGACTTATATTTATACAAATAAAAAAGAAAAAGCAATCCAGCAATCTATACATGTTCATTGTTCATAGTTCATATTTACATATTCAGAGTATTGCCAAAGTACGACTTGAGTGCTGTTCCTTTCTGAATCAATGGCTTAAGGTCACTGTTCAAGCGGTCCGATGACTGCAAGTCTTTGAGCATGTACTGTACGTTGGTCTTCAGGAAGCCAGATATGTCAGAAAAGTGACAACAAGGAGGATGTGGATGGCAAAGAAGCTCTGTGGTTGCAGCATTGTCCCACTCCTAAAGGAATGTGAAAACAATACCAGTCCAGTAGACTAGACAGTAACACAGACACAGTTGAGTCAACGTAACATACGTATGACTCATCACAATCGACAGTCAAGCCAGTCGCCACTACCACATGAGTCAATGACTTAATCAATAAATCACAAAAGAAAGAAGTTCAAAAGCATTACATTTCATCGTACTGCAAGCTTCGACTGCATGGAGATGATCTGGATGCAGCACTTCTTTCTGCAGAAGCGACTGGGCAGCAAGTCTCAGCTGCGCTAGAGCTGTTCCTGGCGAATCTACACCACTAAACGCAGTGCTGTAAGTGCACACTTCCATTCTGCAAGCTAGCTTGCCAATAGTATCCAAGTCATTGTTCGGGCCGTCCGGTGACATGTTCATCAACTTCTTTAAATAGAACTCAGGCCATCCTTGGAATCTAGAGGCATCATAGACAACATGAACATAGAGTGCCTGAAATATTTTTGCAAAAAAGTAAGGTAGCTTTACCATAATGTGCAAACAAACATACAGACCCTGAAAAACTAAAAATATATAATATAACATAATACTGTAACTTCCAAGGATCGATGTGCTGTTTCCAAGCTTGTAGAAACATCATCAGCAGCATCAGTGCTGGACGATTGCAACCTCAAATAGCAGTGGAAAAATCATTACTAGGAATAGACCGGTGACCCATGCCCCACGCCACAAAACCTAAGTTCTTAAGTATATGCAAGTGAACAGTGAACATTGAAAAATATTGAAAAGAATATCATATCAATGTTTAATGTTGGACGCGTGGTGTGGTTAGTGGCATGGTCTCAGTCAACTGTCAAACCTCATGGTTCAAACTAGTCAGACTGACTAGCAAACACAAGACAAATGACAAAGGACTAAGGACTAAGGACGACTTGACTGACACAACTGACAACTGACTAGAAAAACAATATTAAAACACATTCGACAAACAACTTTGAAGATTCTGGAGACTGTGACAGATCTTGGGAAGTGGATGGCTTCGGCTGCATTGACGACTGTGGCGACGATGGATCTGGCATCTCAATGTCCCCTGGACTCAGAGACATGGGTGGGTTCAGTGGGCTTGCAGCCATGACCACTGTAGTAGATGGTGGAGGTGTCTGGGTTCCATCACGCTCCGCACCCATAGAAACCATTGTGGCCACCACATGTGGAGCCTCAGAAAGAATATCACCATCATCTTGCACGGCAGTGCTTCCTCTTGGCTCACGATCAATATCAGTGTGTTCGTATTTTTCTTCTGGCTGATCTTCATCTTCATCCTTAGTTGGATCATTGTTGAGAAGTTGGTTGGTCTGTCGGTCGGGGGTTTTGGTGCTTTAGGTTGAGGTGATGAAAACAAAAACAATAGTTAGTCTACCTAACACAACCACCCAACTGTATCTTCAATTTGGGTTTGAGTTTTGAATTCACTAGTATGGACGAGTAGCCACCTCCACTGCCGGAATAGCAGGTGAGCCATCTAAACCAGAAGCAACAGGATCAGTCTGATCAGGATGATCAGGTTGGTCCTCACCCTGTTGGTGTGAAGCAGCAGGCGGCATCTCTTCAAACTCTTCAGACTGATTTTCGTTTGCAGAATCATTCCCCTGATCATCGTGTTCTGAAGGCGGTAGATCAGGAGGAGAAGAGGCTAACGCATCTGCAAACCCACCATCAGACTGAGATTGAGACGGCATACCCGGTTGCAATGACTTCCCAAAGAAGTTGACAACGTCTTCAGCAGTAAACTCTGGGGGTGCTTTGGAAATAGAAGCTGTTCCATAGCCATTGCGCAATTTGCGCTCAAAAATATCAAAATGACCCGGAGGCTTGACTGTGTAGTTGTTCAAAACAACAGCCACAATTTTGCTGGTGCAATTTCTCTCCTGACCGATGAGCGTACGAATGTGCCTGGTGTCCTTGTAGGGCTGGGTAACATAGAGTGGCATGGATGCAAAAAAGTCTTTCCTGCCATCATGAACAACCAATGTTGTGGTTGACTCTGCAAAGCCTTGAATTCCCCAGATGTTGGTCTTATTCTTCCAGAGAAAGACGGTCTTGTCCAAAACAGCCTTTGCGGGCACCTGAACAGTCCTTCAGTGTGGCTTGCTTTGCGTACACCTTAACAAAATCATTATGGTTCTTACCATGAACATTAACGAACTAGGTTTGAACATTTGTGACAGCATGTGTTTTAGCCAAGACGTCCTCATCAAGACAACATGGTCTTTTGCTTTTGCAGGTACATCATCGTAGTCAAACCGCTGCACAGCAAAGTGTGGTTCGCGGTGCATGGCCACACCAGCCATGAACGTGAAAGAATGTTTGCCCTACAAACGATATGTTATTGAGTCAACACGTGTCA